CCGGGAAGCCTGAGGCAGAGTTGCTCTGCCCCAGGCTTCCTGGAATCAGCCCCTGATCAGTTTCAGCAGCGGTTGACTTGGGTACACCTGGGGCAGAGCAGCTAGGGCACTGCTGGGTTAGTCTGGTAGCACCAACCCTTGGCACTGCGAGACCAACCCGGCAGCACTCCAGCTGCTCTGTTCCAGGTGTACCCAAGTCAGCTGCTGCTGAAACTGATCAGGGGCTGATGCCAGGAAGTGGGGGGCAGAGCAACTCTGCCTCGGGCTTCCCAGAGTCAGCCGCTCGTCAGTTTCAGCAGCAGCTGAATCGGGGACGCTGCTGGGTTGGTCCCGCAGCCCTGAGTTACCCCCATTGTGGCTCTGCAGAGTGGTCCAATCGACTAATCATATAGTCGATACAAATTGTATCAACTCTAAGTTTAACTCAGTGACCACAATTTAACATCTTAACTGTAGTCTAAAGATTGGGGTAGTATTGCTCCCTCCTGGTGGGGAGTTCTCGACTGGAGGGCTCCAATGCAAGTAGAGCCCTCCATGTGGCAGCTCAGAGAGAAATATAAGTACAGGCAGTCCCCGGGTTACGTACAAGATAGGGACTGTAGGTTTGTTCTTAAGTTGAATCTGTATGTAAGTCGGAACTGGCATCCAGATTCAGCCGCTGTTGAAACTGATCAGCAGCGGCTGAATCTGGACACCAGTTCTGACTTACATACAGACTCAACTTAAGAACCCCAGGCGTCCCCAAGTCAGCTGCTGCTGAAACTGACCAGCGGCTGACTACAGGAAGCCGGAGGCAGAGTTGCTCTGCCCCGGGCTTCCTGGAATCAGCTGCTGATCAGTTTCAACAGCGGCTGAATCTGGACACCAGTTCTGACTTACATACAGACTCAACTTAAGAACCCCAGGCGTCCCCAAGTCAGCTGCTGCTGAAACTGACCAGCGGCTGACTACAGGAAGCCGGAGGCAGAGTTGCTCTGCCCCGGGCTTCCTGGAATCAGCTGCTGATCAGTTTCAACAGCGGCTGAATCTGGACACCAGTTCTGACTTACATACAGACTCAACTTAAGAACCCCAGGCGTCCCCAAGTCAGCTGCTGCTGAAACTGACCAGCGGCTGACTACAGGAAGCCGGAGGCAGAGTTGCTCTGCCCCGGGCTTCCTGGAATCAGCTGCTGATCAGTTTCAACAGCGGCTGAATCTGGACACCAGTTCTGACTTACATACAGACTCAACTTAAGAACCCCAGGCGTCCCCAAGTCAGCTGCTGCTGAAACTGACCAGCGGCTGACTACAGGAAGCCGGAGGCAGAGTTGCTCTGCCCCGGGCTTCCTGGAATCAGCTGCTGATCAGTTTCAACAGCGGCTGAATCTGGATGCCAGTTCCGACTTACATACAGATTCAACTTAAGAACAAACCTACAGTCCCTATCTTGTACGTAACCCGGGGACTGCCTGTATGTTGAAGGCTCTGGAGTATGGTTCCAGGAGTCAGTGGATCTAGGGCCTAAACCCAGAGAGCGAGCATAGTCCTTTGTGGCTTTTTGTTTAATTTCATCCAACTATCACAGGGAGTTAAACCATTCATATCGTCTATCCCATGAATGTAAAAAACAAAAATCTTAGTTTTTCACTTGTGGTAGGCCAAAACGTTTAAGGCTGCATCTAGACTGGCATAATTTTGCGCAAATACTTTTAACGGAAAAGTTTTTCTGTTAAAAGTATTTGTGCAAGAGAGCATCTACACTGGCACGGATGCTTTTGCGCCAGAGGGCTTATCCCTGAGCGGGAGCGTCAAAGTATTTACACAAGAACCACTGATTTTGTACAGTACAAAGTCAGTGCTCTTGCGCAAATACTTGTGGCCAGTCTATACAGGCGGCAAGACTTTGTGCAAAAGCCAACGCTTTTGCGCAAAATCTTGCCAGTCTAGACGCAGCCTAAGTGTAGGAGTTTCTTCCTCTTCTCTACTCCCCTTCCCCCCCACCCCAAAAGTTGTTCATCTCCTGGTAAGCCTGCTTTGAGAGAGTAGCTTTCTCAGACATTGAGTTACTAATTTGACTTCTGTGTATGTGTGCTTTTGTTTTGTTTTTAAAGCCTCCAATCCAGGTTTATGGAATGGAAGGTCGCTATGCTACTGCTCTCTACTCTGCTGCTTCTAAGCAGAAGAAATTGGACCAGGTAGAGAAAGAGCTTAGTCGAGTATCGGTAAGTAGGCCTTGTACAGTTACTTCTCAATTTTAAGCTATAAATTAAATGTTGTGGAAATGTTTGTTCTTGTTCTTTCCCCCTGTTCAGTTATGGAGAAGGAATTTCTCAGTCTATAGCAAATATTAAACATAGCAAATTTAAAAACATCACCGCTCTTGCTCGCTTGTGCTAGTTCTCAATACTGACCCTTATCTTACATTTTTATTAAGCAGCCTTGTTTGAAAGTAGATTATTTTAATGCAAACTTGATACCTTTTAAACTTGTTCCAGCAATGTCCATATAAGGAATCTAGAGTACATTTCAATGCATTCTGCAGATCAGTCCTGTTGTCTGCATTTGTTTTCATATTTGCTGTTGGCGGGGCAGGCCTACACTAAAAAGGCTGCGGCTGTACCATTGTAGTGTTTTAATGAAGACACTGTGCTGATGGAAGATTTCTTTCCAATCAGCATACTTAATCTACCTCGAAGAGATGGTAGATTCTACCACCAACATAACTTTCTTGTCAACATAATGTGACTACACAGGTGCTTAAGTCAGTATAATGTTTCTCTGGGGGTGAGGATTATTCACACCTCTGAGCAATGTAATTATATTGCAGTAATTCTGTAATGTAGACCTGCCCTGAGATTTTTGTATCATACTCTTTTCTTTGGGCATGGGGGATTTTCTCCTTGTATATCTTTCCTAACTGAGAACTAGATGTATAAGAAGCTTAATATTAGTACTGTATGTTTTTACTCTGATTTTAAACTGTTTCAAAGTTCATTTAATCTAAGCCTGTGCATTTAATCTAAGCCTGTGCATCTTCCAAGGATGTGTGTGAAAATGTGTACACAAAATTTTCTGTTGGTTATCATGTTATCTGTATTTTTTTCTTTAGACACTTCTGAAGGATCCCAAATTGTCTAGTGTTGTCCTGAATCCTCATATAAAGAGTGTAATTAAACAAAAAACTGTAAATGATATTTTAGTAAAAGAGAAATTATCTCAGATCACAATCAACTTTATGAGTAAGTAGTCATTGATAACTAAAGTCTGAGCATTATACTAGCAAATGCTATTTTTCATGACCCAATCTACTTGCATTGTCTTCATTTCTTAAGCATGTATGTAAAACGAAACTATTGAAGCATTTTGGTATTTTCTGTGGTTAGTTCTATTGTGTTTTTAAATTAATTTGTATTGAATATATTTTTCATGTGTAACTTGTTTTCAACATTGAAATGTCTTTTTCCAGAAGTGCTGGCTGAAAATGGTCGCTTGCAACGGACTCCAGATGTAATTTCTGCTTTTGGAAAGATCATGAGTGCGTACCGTGGAGAAGTGCTCTGCTCGATCACCACTGCTAACGTAAGCTAGAAACATATAAAAACTGCAGGATTGACTTCATTAGTAGTGACTGCATTTTTTTTTCCTTTCTAGGCAACCTGAATAGGTTGAGCTTGCCTATGCTTGAGAAATGAACAGCACTGCATGTTCACTGTACCTGAAAGTTACTTACACACTAACTATTGACCAGAAAACAAAACTGTTGCACATTTTTTTCTTAGTTGACACATAATTGTTGGAAAACAATTTAATTAACCAGGGCAGTATGGGGGACAAATGATTGAGCAAAACCACAGGAGGAATTTCTCAAGAGTAGTAGGCAAACCTGCTCTTTTTGTCCTTGGTCCGTCTGAAACGGAAGCATGAGTCACAGGTCAGAGAGCCAGTGGATCTTGTATTTTTTACCTGTAGGTCACTAGCTTGTTTAGTGGGCAGAAATACAGTAAACTTCCGATAATCCGGCACCTTGAGGATCCAGAGGATGCCGGATTGTCAGATACGAAGGACTATTGGAAGGGGGGGCTATGAGGGCTCTGGGGTGGAGTGGGGGGATGTACTCCTTGGCGCTACGGGACCAACCTGGCAGCACCCCAGCTGCTCTGCCCCAGGCTTCCCTGATTCAACCACTGCTGAAACTGACCAGTGGCTGGCTCTGCCCCGGGCTTCCCGGAGTCAGCCGCTGGTCAGTTTCAGCAGCAGCTGAATCGGGGAAGCCATGGGCAAAGCAGCTCCAATTGTCCGGCTGCCCGGAGCACTTCCAGGTTACAGATGGCGCCGGACCATTGGATGCCGGATGACTGGAGTTTTACTGTACCTATGGTTTTGTTTCCTAGTAAGCCTGAAAACCTAGGACTGAGTTGCCAAGCTTAAATAATTCAGCATTTCTGTTTTGTGATTACAAAGCACACAGCTCTCTGTATCTGCAATTTCAGACTAAAGCATTGATGTGAGATGAAAGACCAGCTTAGTTAGCCCCTTACAGGAAACGTGAAAAAGCTTGCATATGTGTTTTGGTGCACAAGTTCTCTCTATGCTCTTAAGTTTATGGCAAAAATAACACTCTTGTGTTCATACCTGCTGTGTTATGGCTTTTAAAGACACCCATGGCACAGTTTGTTTATTTTTCAATAACATACCAGCAAAACAACTAGAATCTGTAAGTGCTGCTTCTCTCTCAACAAAATCTGTTCTGATTCCAAGTGTGGGTCCCATCTCCACAGTAGTTGAATGCCTTTCAGAACTTCCTGACTACATCTTTTTTCTGAGAGGTAGGAAAGTATCCTACCCATTTACAAAATGGAGAACTGAGGTAATTGCAATTCTCAACTTGGCCACAGCCTTCCTGTATGACCTTGGGCAATCAGAGTGCAGTCCCAGTTCAGTAATAAAACCACTTAATCATCTTTCCTATCTTTAGTATGTTTGCAGCCACATACTTCTGCCATTTGCTTTAGTAAGATGTTATCAAATTATTGCTTGTGATGCATTCCTGGTGGCATAACGTCTATTCATGTAATTAAGTAGAACTAAAACTTAATTGGTCCAAGATATGCCAAACAAATTCTACTTTCTCTGCTCTCCCGTCTTAACTGTTATTATCCAAAAGCATTACACAGTGCTTTTTCTTCCTTTAGACCCATCTCTACCTTGGGTATTACATTTGGGAACAGGAAATTAAGGCATTTAGTACATTTAATATTTAAATACAGCTCTTTATTTTCTATATTTTTTTCCAGCCCTTGGATCAGGCCAGCCTCACTGAATTAAAAACAGCTTTGGGTGGCTTCTTGGCTAAAGGAGAAGTCTTAAAACTGGAGACCAGGGTAAGGACCTGTGGATAAATTCTATAAAGTGAAGCAGTTTCTCTCAGGCATATCTGAGCTACAGATTTCATTGAAAGATCTATTGTAAATATATCTTATGTATTTTAGTCTCACTTGGTCTAGTGAAAGTAAATGTACATTAAACTGCTTTATATTATAAATGCAGTGGCATTTTAATAACTGCTAAACTTGCATCAATCACGGTAACTTTAAGTATAAGATTCCTGTTGGACAAATCTTTTATTATTTCTTGCATAGAAAAGATACACTTGAACGTTTGGTCATTGGAATTTTAATTAGATATGTTTAACTTTTCCTTCTTCCTAGACTGATCCCTCAATCCTAGGTGGAATGATTGTCAGCATTGGGGATAAATATGTTGACATGTCAACAAAATCCAAGATTCAGAAACTGACCAGAATCATGAAAGATACTGCTTAACATCTTATCCAACTGTTTTACACAGTGAACATGTCAATCTATGGAAACAATAAAATATTTCTCCTTCAATAGACCGTAGTGTTTGCTTATTTAGTATAGAGTGATTAACACTGAAGTGCAGCCTTACAGAAAGCAATCTCTTGAGTTAGTCTGTAAAGAGCTTCAGTTACAGAGCTCTGTTGAGCCACCTTGTAACTCTTGGTTTGGAAAATGGGCTTGACCTGAATATAGTTGTGTAATTCTGAAGGCAACATAGGATTTTTTTCTGTAAAAGTTGGCTCAAACTGTTGAGGATTGCACTGCATTAGTTATTCCTCCTGTCTTTTAATCCAGAAACAGTGTTCGGATAGGGCAGTACAGGGATAAAGGCTCTATAAATGCCAAAAGATTAAATGTACCGCTGTACAATTCAGTCTATTTTCAGACTGGAACAGTGTAATGATTAAACTGCCATCAGTTGAAAACAGGATACGATTGTCATGGAGCTGATGAAATGTGAAACAAGAGCCCCTGTTACCAATGACAGTCACAACAGCCAAGTATATAAAATTATAAATAGACATGTTTCAGCCAAGTCATCCACATACCATACTCTTTATATATAGTCCAAACTACTGATTAAACAATTACCTAAAGATCTCATTTGCTACATGTACTGACACTTTCCACTTAAAAATATTCCTTACATCTTCAAAATCAACCTATTAAAAGTAGATAATTTTTTGTTACAATGAAGCCTTACAAGTAGCTATCTGGATACTAATGGGGGGGGGCTGTGTGTTTTGTGTTTTGTTTTTTGTTTTTGTTTTTAAATAGGTTTACCTTCCAAAAATCCACAGCTATTTTTTATTTAGGTAATCTGGACTAGTTCTGAAAACAAATTTTAAATGTACTTACCTCAGGCTATATCTGTGCTACAGAGATTTTCTGGGATATTAGAGGTATCTGGGAAAAACTCTGCTGCGTCCAGGGAATATATCTGCTTTTTCAGATCAGTTTCTGAAAAAGCAGGTGAGCTTTCAGAAGCCCTGTATTCCTCATTTTATGAGGAATAAGGACTCTTCCGAAAGAGGAGGTTTTTCCCACTTTTGGCCACATGTAGATGGAAAAGACTCTTCTGAAAAAAATAATCTGAAAAAGGTATGCACATTGTGGTTCGCAATACCTTTTTCCAAAAATTAACTGCAGTGTAGACGTAGCCTCAATTGTAAGATATCTAATATTGAGTGCCCTTGACTGATGCTGCTGAGAGAAGACATGGAAATGGCAATGCTGTTATCTGCAGATGTTAATTCTTACTGCAGCCTGTTATATGATCAACCACATCTGCTCTTTTTTCCTCTTTAAATAAAAGGACAAATGGAAATTAGATGGCTTAGCAATATTTGGAGTGGGTGGAAGGAGAGGATTGAGCTCTGTTGGAAGCTGCACACTTTCCCAACAAATCAGACTACACATACTGCTTAAACTGCTACATTTCTTAAGTAGTAAGAGTTCTTCTAGTACGGGGGGTGGGAAATAATTTTTGCCCAGGGGCCACTTCAAAAAATTTTGAAGTAGCCCTAGGCCATCCCACCCCCAGACCATGCTTCCTCATGGGATGAAAGAGCCCCTTTTGCCCCCCTCTTTCCCATGGCACCAGTGACTTGGAAGAGGTTCCCATGCTCCCCCACCCCCAGGTCAATCAGGGCCTGGGGGCAGGGAGCCTGGGAAACCTCCTCCCACCCTGCGAGGAGCATGTGGCACTTTGAAGTGCTGGGGCAGGGCAAAGGAAGCTTCACGCAGCTCCTCTGCCCCCAGACTCTGATTGGCCTGGGTGGGGGAGGTGCCTCCTCTACTCTTCCCCCCTGTGTGCAGCACTGCAAAGCATCCTGGCAGGGTGGGAGAAGGGTTGGCATGCTCCCCCACCCCCCAGGCCAATTAAAGCTGGGGGGGCAGGGGAGCAGCAGGGCCTCTGTGGGCTGGATCCGGATCCGCTCATGGAGGCCCTTTTGCCCCACCCCTGTCCTAGTGGAAGGATGACCAGCCTCCCCAAAAAAGGAGAAAACACACAACTTGAGGCTGAGGAAGGCCCTTTTCCCCTGCAGTGAGTGCCCCTGATATCCATTTCTTACTTTATTCTAAGACCCCACTCTTACAGGAAAAGGGGGGACCCTATCATGGACTACAGCAGCACACTAACTCCTCCATCTCAATTCAAGTGCTATCTGGATCCCATCCCTGTAATTTAGGAGTAAACCGAGGATAAGGATGAAGACTGGGGAGTCTATGAGCACTGCCACTGTTAGTGTGACTTGAACTTGCAACTGCTATCTATTTCCACATTTATAAAATGAGGACAAACTAAGTTCTTCAGAGGGGCTGCTACACTTTGTATTTATAAAGATAAGAAAGCCTTGAACTAAGTATGCTCTTTGTGCCAAACCTGAATAAAAAAATTGTATTTCCCTACGTATTACTATTATACAAATCTCTAAAAGTATTTGAGTCAAGCTTTAACATAAATTTGATATGACAATTCATTGTAAAAAAAAAAATTAGGTTTATTTCTGCATACTTTCACTTACGCTACTACAGTTTAGTGTGTCAAACAAGAATAGACTCTTATTTGCAATGTTAATTTTATTGAATACACCAGAGGAAGCAGATGTAACTTCTACAAAAGGAATACTTTTTTAAAAACTCCTTTCTTGGACCTAGTTCATAAATAGAATAACTTAACCAAGTGAAGCAAAGGAAACAGCAGCTTCAAAAATACTTAAGCATGTTTGAGAGAGACACTACTGTTCCTTCATGGTATGAAATATAACCTGTTGAAAAAATGACAGCTTGGAATGGATAGTGAAGAACATATCTAAATTAGCCATACAAATGTATTTCCTAAGAAAAGAAAATTAACTTTTTCCCTGTTGATATGGATCTGAGACAAACATATCACAAGTATACCGTACAATACTTCCTTTTTTAAAGGAAACTAAGCAATACCATTATTTGGCAACAACAAGCGCACCAACAAGTAAGGGAATTTCCCCTTTTATGCATTAACATTGAAAAACACAATGGATTACCTTTTTCAACAACCTACCACCGCTACTCGGGTAGTCTACAGAATCTATTAATTTTAGAAAAGAGCATGTAAACCTCTGAACTGTACATCCAGTTGGGGAAGACCTTTTAACACTACAGATGTACTGTTGTTTATTTTCTACTGTATTTCCATTTGTTACAGGCCAAAATAATAGAATACTATCATGGCATGTAGTTATTTAAGGATGACAATGAATCCATATGGAGAAGGTCAGCACAGGCTTATGCCCCACTGTAACTAGATATAAGTGGTGCGTAAGCCTTGTGGTGGGCTTCAGCACATAAGTAAATTTAATTGGTAGTACTCTGTGCACCATAAAATGAGAATGCTGCGGAGCTGTTGTGAAAACACCACCACCTACACTTGAGTCTGAAAACAAATCTGTATTTATGGTGGAAAACTAGCCATAGCACCCAGTGAGTCCTGCCTGGATGACCGCAGCTGAACTGACCATGTGCAATCATAAGAACATCCATACTGGGTTAGACCAAAGGTCCATCTAGCCCAGTATTCTGTCTGCCGACAGTGGCCAATACCAGATGCCCCAGAGGAAGGAATCACAACAGGTAATCCTCACGTGATCCCTCCCCGGTCACCCACTTCCAGAAAAACAGAATCTGGGGCTACCATTCCTACCCATCCAGGCTAATAGCCATTGATGGACCTAACCTCCATGAATCAATCTAGCTCTCTTTTTTTAACCCTGTTAAAGTTCTAGTCTCTTATCCCATGACAACTTACTTTATTTAAGAGCCTTTGGTGAGGGACCTTGTCAAAGGCTTTCTGGAAATCTAAGTATACTATATTCACTGGATCCTCCTTGTCCACATATTTGTTGACCCCCTCAAAGAAATCTAGTAGATTAGTAAGGCATGATTTCCCATTACAGAAACCATGTTGACTTTCCCCCAACAAATTATATTCACCCATGTGTCTGACAATTTTATTCTTCACTGTAGTTTCAACTAATTTGCCCGGTACTGACGTTAGACTTACTGGTCTATAATTGCCAGGATCACATCTAGAACCCTTTTTAAATATTGGTGTCATGGTAGCTATCTCCCAATCATTAGGTACGGAAGCCGATTTAAATGATAGGTTACAAACCACACTTTAGTTCCACAATTTCCCATTTGAGTTTTTTCAGAACTTTTGGATGAATGCCATCTGGTCCTGGTGACTAGTTACTGTTAAGTTTATCAATTTGTTCCAAAATCTCTAATGACACCTCAATCTGGGACAACTCCTTAGATTTGTCACCTAAAAAGAATGGCTCAGATTTGGGAATCTTCCCCAACATCCTCAGCCATGAAGACTGAAGCAAAGAATTAATTTAGCTTCTCCGCTATGACTTTATCATCTTTGAGAGCTCCTTTAGAATCTCAATTGTCCAAGGGCCTCATTAGTTGTTTAGCAGGCTTCCTGCTTCTGATGTACTTAAAAAACGTTTTACTATTCCTTTTTGAGTTTTTGGCAAGCTGTTCTTCAAATTCCTTTTTGGCTTTTCTTATTGTATTTTTACACTTACTTTGACTAAATGTATGGTCCTTTCTATTTTCCTCACTAGGATTTGACTCCCACTTTTTTGGTTCTCTTGCTATGTTTTTTAATTTGGGGTATACATTTAAGTTGGGCCTCTATTATGGTGTCTTTGAAAAGTTTCCATGCAGTTTGCAGAGATTTTACTTTTGTCACTACCTTTTAATTGCTGTTTAACTAACTTCCTCATTTTTGTGTGTAGTTCCCCTTCCTGAAATTAAATGCCACAGTGTTAGGCTGCTAAGGTTTTTTTCCCCACCACCGGGATGTTAAATTTTGTTATATTATGGTCACTATTTCCAAGCTGTCTAGTTATATTTACCTTTTGAACCAGATCCTGTGCTCCACTTACTTATGACTAAATCAAGAATGGCTTCTCCCCTTGTGGGTTCCAGAACCAGCGGATCCAAGAAGCAGTCATTTAAGGTATCAAGAAATTTTTTC